TTCAAGTAGCTGATTTTTTCAGAAAATTTTAAGAATGAAAACTCCTTCTATTACATAACTATCAGTACTTCTATAGATATTATAAAATTAAACAACGATAAAATTATATTTGGCAAAAGAACTATCAAACAGATTTGACTGCTCTAATTGATTTATTTTATTAGGGTCCATATTTCGAAGACTATCTTATAATTACTATTTATATCAATAGATTTTTTACTAAATTCTAATATATTGATAAAATTAATTGATCAACGTTCTTTAATAACTAACTTTAACAGAAAAATACAAAATATCACATCAAATTTAAATTATTTATTTTTAATATTAAAAGTTAAATTAATATATGTCTCAACTTTTAATAATAAATAGAATTTTATTTTTTGATAATTTTTTTTTAGATAACGTTTAATCATGCAAGAGATATGTAGAACTTTAGCAATTCGGATCCTTATAAAATTAACATATTATTTTAATAGAAAATTAATCTTTTTGAAATAAGAAATATACTAACTTCAATTTTATTAGTTTCAATTTGAATTTTGGTAAATTACAACATATTATCACAAATCTATTCTATTAATGACATTTAAATCTAGAGGTTTAATCATTTTAGTTCATTTTCTACTTGTGAATTAGCATTAAATAGTAATTATTTTATGATGTTCAATTGTTTTAATTTTATTTTATTGATATCTAATTAATTGTTATTAAGTTTGTCATTTCAAAAATGAAGCTAAAGGAGTACTCAATTAGGTTATTATATTAATTGTCTTAATATTAAAATGCTAATTTTATTTATAATGAACTCCAGATAGTAGAATTTACTTATATCCTTAAAGAAACTTTTTATACCTAATGATATATCAACTGAGTTAACTCTCAACAATGCTATGCCTATAATTGAAAATTAAAGAATTACAAAATAACTCATTTTTTTATTTGCTTGGTTAATTTATTTTTAATCTATTATAAAAAAACATAAATGCCTCTATTTAATTAATTAAAAGATTTTTGTCAATATTAAAAATAAACTCAATCTATAAACACAATTAATTGAGATTTTTTTTTTATTTATTTTAGTTATTGTCCTTCTTTACTGAGATGAATCTGATATCCTTTTTATAATTGTTCCTAATATTTAGCTTCTTAATATTTGCATACAACTAGTTTACATAAAATCTAACACTCAAATTTATTTGTTATCTATTCCAGCTCTAATATCTGAATATAAATGAAAATAATAACAAGCTGAATGATATTTCAATTATTGATTCAAAGATATTTCATAGAGATTTCTTTTACATTTATAACCTGAAAAAGTCCATTCATAACCAGATACATATTATATAATTAATTGAAAAACTGTATTTTCATATACTTGCTTAGTATTTCTGGACATTTTTATTAAATCAAATACAGAAATACCTCTTTCTTGTTCTATGTTTGGTTATTATTTTGGTTTAAATTAACATATTGATGGTTTATAGTTTCTGAAGTTTTGGTAATAAAATTATGTTGAAAAAATAATTAAACTTTAATTATATATATATTCATATTTGATTATATTTTCTAATTTAAATTTCTTTTGATTCTTCATCCCATGTAATTAAAAACTACCCATCATCACTCACACAACCAAATAAATCAAAATTTCCAAATTAAATTGATTATTCTATTTTAAATTCATAATTTCCAATTTTCCTTATAAAATTCACATAATTACTCGTTTTAATTACAATAAGACATTATGGTTCGATAAACTTTATTGGAAAAAACTAATAATCACCTCCACTCTTCATAGCAATATCTTTTGTTTTTGTATACTATTTATTAATATCATTAAATTCATAAAAATGTAGATATTCTACACAATAGAGTTGAAAAATGAATGAATTTTCATTAATAAAACATATTCTACAACCAGTTGTTTCAACCTTAATCTTTTAGACTACACTCCATTTACAATCCTATTAAGATTATTCGATTATTAATATTTATTCATCACATGCACATGATATTAATTAATTCTATTTTTAATTTAAACTTAATCCTACGACATAGTTATTATGGTCTGTAACAGTTTATGAACATAACCAGTAGTGATTTTATTTCATCCAGAATTTAATAGTATTATCTTCACTACCTGTTATTATTAGATCTTCATTAATATTCAATAATAAACAAAGTATCCAACCATTATGTCCATTTAATTTCTATTAGCAAACCCATTTATTGTTTTCATTCAAAGACCATATTATAATTTATTTATCATAACTTCCAGACATAAATTATTTAGATTTCTTCATAAACTATAAAGTATTAACAATACTCTAATGTTCATTTAAAACTTGTATTTCTTTTAATACATCTTATTTCAATTGAAATACATTAATTTTCTCATAACATCCAACTATTACAATAGAACAATCTGAATTGATAGCTATTGCTTAACAATTATCCTATTTTCTAATTGAACTCTCCTCGATGAATTAATAAGTAAATGAGTTTTAAATTAATTCAGGAGAAGATTGAAGAAATTGTTATTATATTTTGGTTTATGCTTAGTGTTGTTATTATAATAATTACTAGTCCTTGACTTTTAATTAGTCTTCAAATTGTGGATTCAATTATTCGCATTGGCTAATTGATTATTTGATTTCTTAATTATATTCCTATTACTGTTTTAATTGATCTTACATCTAACTTATTGATAATTATTAAGATTTATTATTTTAATTTGAAATAGTATATAGTTATTATTTTAATTAAATATCAATCAAATAAAGAACTTGATCAAATTTATATTTTTATTGTAGTATAATTTATATCGTTTCTTTTCTGATATATTTTATGATTATAATATTTTAATATCATAATCTGTTCTATTGTAAATTTCTTTATCAACAACGTATTTAGATAGATCTATTAGAAAAATAGTTATAAGTAAAATTGATTGGGCATTATTTAATAAGTAAAAGAATTTGAAATAGAGTTTTGAATTGATACTTGCTATCATTAGTTTTATTTTAGTTTATCGAATTCAAAAAATAAAAGTAGTAATAACAATTCTTTTTCTAATTTTATAAAATGCTTTGATAATTTGAAATTTTTAATAAATTTAATGTATAAACTGGAAAATCAACCTATTTTATTCAGTTTACGAAATAATTGTATTTATAAAGACACCAATTTTTTTGATTATCAAAAATCTTACAATGGCAAGGTTAGTTTTACAATAAAGGTAAATAAATTGAAAAATTCGGAGAATATATTCAAATTGTCTAATGTGTAAAAATGGCTCAGTTTGATTCTATGCCAATTTGAAACTTAGATAACAGATTTCTTTATGAAAATACCATAAACAGATAATCTAGAAGCTATAGAAAAATATCTTAAATTATTATATTAGAAATTGCTATTTAAATATTAAAGAATAAATAGAACTTAGGATAAATTTTAATTTAAATGCTTTTCTAAAGGAGGATCAATATTCAAGCAAATTATGAATAATATATAATAGATTTTGATTATTAATTAAGGTTGGGCCTATGATTTAAATATTAATTAGAATAACATATTCATATACTACCATTGCTTCATTTCAGGTTTTTCCGATGAAATTATCCCTATCTCAAGAACCTTCGAGAATTCTAATGTTGCTATTTTTATAATAATGATTATGCAAAAAGGAGTTTTGGGAATTTCTGAATTTATATAAAGCAGGATGTTATTCTTGCGATTAGACAGGTACCTAAAATTATTGAATCAACAATATTATTAATGGATGGTTATCAAATGGTGTTTTTGAAAAATTTTTAGCTAATTTTTCAGGCATTTTCAACTATTCATTTAGGAATTAATGCCTAAGGGTATTTTTAGTTTAATTGGAGAAAATTTATTAACTAGAGATGCAATCCAAGATTAGCTTTTCAATTTAAGTCTTTATATTAAATTCTTATAAATGGAAATTAAAAGTTTAATAGATTCTGTTATTAAACAGTTGAAATAAATATAATATTAAAAAATTTGAGAATGAGTATATTGCTAAATAAAGAATAATTTGAAAAGAATAAACTCTGGTCGATCCATGGCTTAAGGGTCACTTGGACTAGCTTCCTGGGACTACAGATGAATATTCGAGAGTGATGGAATTCTGAAGGATGAGAGAAACATGACGTATGACTTACCAAGGTTTGAAGTATGATTTTAAATCATAACTCATTCGTAATAGGTGAATGAAGTGGGATTGGAGTTTTCTAAGATTAATTTAGTTGATTTCAATACAAAATCGAGTAAATCGACTATTACCTATAGTTTTTTATAATCTTTACGATTAATTCCGACTACTCTGTAAAAATAAAAAGAGGCAATGTGTTAAATTCGAACCTGAGGCTGTTAGGGAGCACAGGTATTATTTGGAGGGGGAACCTAGGCAATTGCCACACTAAAGTGACCCCTGAAACAGTCTTTTAAACACGGTGTGTTATATCTTACAATAAATGAAAATTTATCTTTGGAGGGGGTAGATGAAGCATGATCGTTTCTTCTTTATCACTTTGAATGGGACTCAAGGGTTGTTGAAAGAAGTAGATTAAAACTAGGCTTATCATTAGTCTACGACTGTAGACGACAATAATGAGTTAAGGACAGAGCCTCAGGTGGCTTTAGCAGAGCGACTTTCCACTGTATACCTCGTTGTGTTTGGGAAGCAAAGTTTTTGAGACATCCTTCTGTGTATACCAAATCTTTTCAAGTGAATTCCTTTAACAATATTAATTCACTAATTATTATTTTTATAATATGAATGTATATGGTTGCGTTGAAGATTGTAGTAACTCATTAAAAGTACTTGTATAAATAATTAGAAAATATTTAATAATCTGTTTGATAGATAGCTTATTTTCAAAACAATTTTTGAAGTAAAGTCAAAAGTGTTTAAATTTAAGCTTTATATATTAGTTTTGAGAGATCTTTACTAGAACCTTGGTTAATTATTTCACATCTATATTTATGTGTTATTAACTTTTTCATTTTTATCCTCTTAGATGGCATAATTATATTTTTATTTTTATTTTTCTATACTACATTAATTAAGAGCATCTTTAATTAAATTAGTTATTTACTCAGTTTGAATATTTTACTTATTCTTTTTCATTTAAAAATAATATTTAATATACTTCTATAATTATCATTTATATATTTGTTTATCAAAATTCAAATCAACTAATACCCAAAATTGAATTTTTAATCATCAGAAATTGNTATTGCTAAATAAAGAATAATTTGAAAAGAATAAACTCTGGTCGATCCATGGCTTAAGGGTCACTTGGACTAGCTTCCTGGGACTACAGATGAATATTCGAGAGTGATGGAATTCTGAAGGATGAGAGAAACATGACGTATGACTTACCAAGGTTTGAAGTATGATTTTAAATCATAACTCATTCGTAATAGGTGAATGAAGTGGGATTGGAGTTTTCTAAGATTAATTTAGTTGATTTCAATACAAAATCGAGTAAATCGACTATTACCTATAGTTTTTTATAATCTTTACGATTAATTCCGACTACTCTGTAAAAATAAAAAGAGGCAATGTGTTAAATTCGAACCTGAGGCTGTTAGGGAGCACAGGTATTATTTGGAGGGGGAACCTAGGCAATTGCCACACTAAAGTGACCCCTGAAACAGTCTTTTAAACACGGTGTGTTATATCTTACAATAAATGAAAATTTATCTTTGGAGGGGGTAGATGAAGCATGATCGTTTCTTCTTTATCACTTTGAATGGGACTCAAGGGTTGTTGAAAGAAGTAGATTAAAACTAGGCTTATCATTAGTCTACGACTGTAGACGACAATAATGAGTTAAGGACAGAGCCTCAGGTGGCTTTAGCAGAGCGACTTTCCACTGTATACCTCGTTGTGTTTGGGAAGCAAAGTTTTTGAGACATCCTTCTGTGTATACCAAATCTTTTCAAGTGAATTCCTTTAACAATATTAATTCACTAATTATTATTTTTATAATATGAATGTATATGGTTGCGTTGAAGATTGTAGTAACTCATTAAAAGTACTTGTATAAATAATTAGAAAATATTTAATAATCTGTTTGATAGATAGCTTATTTTCAAAACAATTTTTGAAGTAAAGTCAAAAGTGTTTAAATTTAAGCTTTATATATTAGTTTTGAGAGATCTTTACTAGAACCTTGGTTAATTATTTCACATCTATATTTATGTGTTATTAACTTTTTCATTTTTATCCTCTTAGATGGCATAATTATATTTTTATTTTTATTTTTCTATACTACATTAATTAAGAGCATCTTTAATTAAATTAGTTATTTACTCAGTTTGAATATTTTACTTATTCTTTTTCATTTAAAAATAATATTTAATATACTTCTATAATTATCATTTATATATTTGTTTATCAAAATTCAAATCAACTAATACCCAAAATTGAATTTTTAATCATCAGAAATTGTTAATAGTTCATTCTTCACTTGCTTTCGGAATAGGATATTTTGAACATTATAATTTTAAATCTTTAAATGTAATAATTCTTAAATAAGTATTATATCAGTTTTTGATATTTTACCTGAGTCACGAGTCATTTAATTCTTATTTAAATATTAATTAAATGCTCTAAGTATTCATTGTTAGTTAAAACTGGAATTATTTAACAAAGCATTTCAATTATGGCAGATTCTATTTAAAATATCAGTTTAAATTGTTTAAATATTTTGAATTAGTAAATTTCTAAAAATTTTTCATTTAAATAAAAGGAATAGAATTATAGTGATAATTGATCTTAAGCTGATATTCATTTTGTCTTGATTTTAGGTTATTGATTTCAAAAGTTTATTCATTAAGAAAGATATTTAGTATATCCTCATTGAATTTAATTAAATTAATACTAAGACGAAAGATTATATTACAAACTACTATTATTTGAAGTATTCTATCGACTAAGCAAAACAATATTTCTAATTGTAGTTTGTATTATGAAATACGACAATTATATAATTAAGGAATTAATCTTATCTATTATCTATATTATCTATTAAATAGTTTCTTTGAATTCATAATCAAGTTTTACTACTCTTTTTTAACCAAATCTTATCCTTAATTTTTGACAGAAAATCTTATGATTAAAAGGTATTTAAAAATCTTTGACTTTTAACACTGATGATTGATTCACTTATTCATCATATATTTATGTTTTCCTTTCATAGATTACTATGATTGTCTCATAAAATCCTTATATTAGTAGATTTTAAACTGTTTATATTTCAAAAGGAATCAACTTGAAGCTTTAAAGTAGATACTAAGTGAAACCAACAACAAAATATACATAAAAATTTTGTATATGATTTTAATTCTCTTTCATATATTAAAATAATTATTATTATATAATTTTTGTTGATTGTTATCTTTATCATACATCAAATGTTAAAAATCATATCAATACCTATTATCAAATTAAAGCTAAAATTCATTAAAATGATTTATTATCTGATTGAATATAAAATTAAATCAGAGTTTAATTGTATTGAGAATAGGCTGGAAAGGATAAGCTAATAAAAATTTCAAGTTCGAGTTGCAAATATTTTGCACTTGATTTTAGCTCTTCCCACAACTTTTCGATACAATTAAGCTAAGAGATATATGGTGGGAGAAATAAACAATTCACTAAAGA